CATTATTAATGCCTTAATTTATGGTATTCAGTTACACTTTTTTTCTCCTCTCTTCTTTTCAATAGTGCTTTAATTGTAGTATAGTACTTCCAATAATGTCGAACCAAATTAACGTAAAATAGTTCAAGACTTAATTGAGAATCAAATCTTGTAAAACTATTTTAATAGCTTGAACCAGAAAGTACCACCAAACCAACGCAATAGAGATAGTGACGATAGACAACACCAAAAACATATAAGTTACATGCCGGAATATTCAAATTTGAGAAAATTTGATACATCTACAATAACATATAAACTAAAAATAAATATTATACAACTAATTATATAGTATACAACTTATTTATAATTTATCTACAACTTTTATACATTATTTTTACCTAGTTATAAATAACTACAACTTAAATACAATTTTCATACAAAAGTTATACAAATATCTTTTGTATGAATGTAGTATATGACTTGCATATATTTTGTATGTGGTATGTTCTTCTTCTTCTATGAAATTCCAATCATAACTTTTTCTTTTAAATACAACTTTGATACATATAATCAACAACTTTATGTAAAAAATAAAGTATTTATAACTTAAATACAAGTTTCATACAACGATTCATATATTATACAACTATTTTTTAACTTTCATACAATATTCAAATAAAAAAATATATAACTACAGCAGAACACAACTTAAATATAATTTACATACAATTATAATAAAACCTTAATACATCTTTGAGTTTCAATCTGAAAATTCATACAAAATCAACTCTAATCTTCACTAAACACCCTCAAAATTGAGATATAAACTCCAAAGAATATTCCCGGTCGTTTGCAACAACACCCAATAAAAATAAATAAAAATTTAAAAAAAATCAAATTTAAAATCAAAGTTTCAAAGTTTTGATGGCTTTCAATGGCTGGCAGGGCACCGGACAATGACTGGTTCGATGATGATAAGCAGCCACATCAAATCTATTATTGAGTTCTATGAAGAAAAAAAGAAAAGGAGATGAGAAAAGAGAAGAGAATCATAGAGACCCAAAGAAGAAAAGTTAGCAGAAAAAAGGAGAGAGAGAGAGAGAGAGAGAGATCTGTGGAACCGATAGATCTGTGAAATTTGATTTACACATTAAAAGGCGACAATCAAGGATACTCATTTAAAACTTATTTGTATATAACTAATAAATTTTATATCAAACTTGTAATTAAGTTAAAATCTTAACAATGAGGGTAATTAAAAATCTCCAAATTGATCACGTGGGCTTCCTTCTTTTGGTTGGGTTTGTTAGCCCATCCGATTTATGGACTTTTCAATCCATAATAGGCCCAATAAGAAAGCAAACTGACTAGGTGAAGAGATATGGGCAAGTGCACGAATAGTCATTCTTAGGGATGCTATTTAGAGATTAGCCGGTACTTATTTTGTCCTGAATTTTTAAATTAAAAATCGTAATTTCAGGATTATCAGAATATTTTTGTTCAGAAAATTTGAACTGAAAAACTAAAATTCAAGACGCACTGATTAATTTTTAAATACCAACTCTTTAGAGTGACTATCTGGTGTCATTTCTACGAAGAGATACATAATGAAGGAGTGCTCTTATTCAATTATTCATATGGGAAGGTAGACGAGGTCATAGGAGATGTGGTAAGATGGTTCATTAATTATTATTGAGAATTTTCTTTATTTAAAATCCTTATCGAGCATCAGTCCACTACTAAATTTTACTTCTTTTTAGATAATTAATTAATATACCGTAGGAAATGTCCAAAAGAACAACAATCTTGAGAATGTCGTTGAGATCTATATATAAATATAAAGTTGGGCATAGAAAAAGTGATGTGGCACCTCTCTATGGCCAGCAATTGCATTTTTCTTTTTTCTCCTTTTTTCGAATTTTTCCTCCATTAATCCTCTACTTCACTCTATTTATTTGTTAATTTTCACCTTCTCTTTAAAGTCTTCCTTATAGTAACTGTTGAGAAATCATTGAAAGAGGTAACTAAGAATTTGTAAAACGGATTCATTATATTTAAAAGGGCATTAAGTATACAAAATGACTTAACAGCTTCTTAGAGGTTGAAACTACACTATAAACTCGATCTTCCAGTTATTCCTACGCATAAACAAGAACATGGGTTTCCAGATAGGGGAGAGAAAGGCCAGCGACAATGAAAATCCCGACAAGGAAGATTGGGAAATGGAAGCAGGGTTTGGATACTTCTGAGTTGGGAAAGAACAAAGTTGACGTGTTAGGTGTCTTCTCTCCTTTCTATCTTTTTCTTCTTTTATTTCTTTTGTTTTCTTCAAACAAATAAAAAAATGAAAATGTTCATGTAGAAAAAATTTCACCTGAATTTGGTGGATTTTCACGGCATCGTATTTTTGTTTGGCTAATTTTCATGTCTATTATTATCTATTATTTCAACTATCATCACCCTATTGAATATAATTTCTTTTATTACTTTTTCGCATGACAACGTTACCTTTTCAAGTGAAGAAGGAAAATGAAGAAGCATATAAAAATCGATTTTCTTTCTTCAATACACAATGTTCCACACAAAGTTATATATCAAAACACATGTATAAAAGGAAGTAACCTAATACAAATGTACATTACACAAAATGAGCTCTGCATCTTATTTTCGTTTTCTTAAACTTATCCTACAAATTTGAAGATAGTTTCAAAATATAATTCTTGGCATATAAATACAGTTGTTTTCACTTTGTTAGGGGTGCATTGACTTATCTGCGAAGTGTAAGTGTAAATTTTTTAGTCTTCATTTGTATGTTCGTCTCTTTTCTCATTATTATCCATTCAATATTGAAAAATACCTCATTCTTATATTTCTTTCCTCCAATTATTTTCTCATTATTATAATTGTGTATGTCCTTGAGGTTGTTGTACTTGGTGATATGAATGATCAATTGGCCCTTCAAATTTGTTATGGTAGTTATGTCGCTGTTCTTATGGTCATAACTTTACAAATTGTATCTCTCTTAGTTACCCAAAAAAAGAAAGAATTGTATCTCGTATATCTTTTACACTATTTATTTGATATTGTTCAGTTTAGGTTAAAGAAAAAAAGAAAGTATTCTTCCTCCCTTCATTTATTAGGTAAATATATGAATGAGTATATATAAGGGAGGGGGTAGAATTACATGTAAGGAAATTAACGAGAAGAAAAAGAATGGTACATTTTCAAGAAAAAATAACAAAAAGGGAAAAAGGGATTTCAAAAATGTAAAAAGTAATGAGAAAGATCAAGTGAAAAACTCTTTTTTGCGTTTCCTTTATAAAATTTCTAAGATCGTGAAAATAATTTTTAAAAATACATACTGAATCTACGGAAATAATTGTGAGAGAGCCAAAATCACGTGTAAATAACTGTTCCATTTTAGCTAAAATTCTGTAAAATTTGTTGCAAAGAAGTAGATTAAAAATATTAGATATAAATGATTTTCGTTAAAAAAAGTGACTAAATCGATAGCATTATTTTTACTATTCACTTATTAAAAAACACCTTATATGGTTAATATAACCGCGCGAAGCGCGGAAAAATTTACTAGTTTGTTATAAATGCAGTTAAATTATATGTCATTCTATATATATCTCAAACTACTAAGGAAGTCTACTCTCGAAACTAATTCGAATTCGTATCGGGGCAATCAACTACGGAAGAAATTTATCTTTTAAAGAGATTATTGTAGCAGTATATGGGGAGGAAAGATGAAAGTAGCGGTAGATGTCCGAGCTGGGAGGTGCGAGAAGTTGGCAGCGTTAGGTCGGGGACATGACCCTAGATAAGAGAGCATGAAGGTCGGGGACTAAGATAGAAGGTTAGTATGCAGCTGAGCAATTTCTCTCTTCTCTATGGGAGAGCATGTTTCTAGTTTAGAGCATCTTATCTGCTTCCTCTTCTCCTTATCAGTATTAATATTATTATTCTATCATTATTTTATTCTTCAATTTTATCACTACTATTTTTTTTTTACTTTGATTATCTTTACTATTTTTGCAGTCAATAGTTTTCTTCAGCATTTTCATCATAGCTTTTTTTTTTTTACTCTTGTATTTTTTTAAACCTATTTTAAAAATACTTTTCTTGAGTCGAGGGTCTATCGAAAACAGCCTTTTTATCTTATACGAGATAGGGGTAAAGTATGCGTACACCTCATCGTCCCATACCCCACTTATGGGATCACATTGATATGTTATTGTTGTTGTTGCAGTTAAAATTATGATCTCTTGCTATAATTTGGGGGAAGTATATATTTCATTTGTCCAGGAAAAAAAACATACATTTCATTTGTCAAAAAAGAATAGTTCATAAGACAAAGTTGTGAAAATAGCACGGGCTAGCTAGTTTTCGGACTTGTAATTGAAAAATAGCAGCGGTTGCAAAGTCATTGAAAAACAACCACTATTTTGTTGCAACACGAAAAATTCCAGCATAATATACTGGAGATTGATGCACAACTGTATGAACTTCTAGCATATTATGTTGGAACTCCTATGCACACGAAAAGTTCCAGCATAATATACTGAAGATTGGAGCACCTGTGTATGAACTTCCAACATATTAAGCTGGAACTCCAGCACACGAAAAGTACCAGCATAATATACTGGAGATTGCAGCACCTGTGTATGAACTTCCAGCATATTATGTTGAAACTTTAGTATATTATGCCGGAACTCCAGTATATTATGCTGGAAGTTCACATGTAAAAAATTCGAACTCCAGTATATTATGCTGGAATATTTTTTAAATTTTGAACAGTGTTTCCGTTCAGAATTATCTTTACAACAAAAATGGCTAAATTTCTATTATTTTTGAGATTGTGGCTATTTTTCAATTACCACTTATAAATCTGGCTATTTTCAAATTCGCCACAAAGTTTCCACATGGCCAAAGGTCAAGGAAACGCCACTCTACTTCAAGTGGGTCCAAAGCCCAAATGGTCCATTTCCTTAAAGAAATTTCCAATTCAGTGCAAGGATAAGTGGATAAGCTTTTTCTTTAAGAAATGAATCATAATAAAAGAAATATCTACATTATATTAAATGAAAAAAGAAAAAAAAATCCTATTGACTCAAATATCTTATCCTTCATTAGACTGGCTGTTCTTGCTAGTTCAAATAATTGCTAAAAGATGTCAATTTTAGCACCAAATTCCAGAATTCTGTATAGAGAAATCCACCATAGAGAGCAGCATCATCAGGTTAGGAACAACGGTGGAAGTCTGAATCTGGTAAAATCATATGATTTTTGCTTTGTAGATAAAAGAAGAGGTGATTGGAGGAAAACAATAAAGAAAGAGTGGAGAGTGCATGCTTCTTGGCTAGACTTGTCAAGACCCGATACGGTGGAGATGCAACCCATTGAGAATAGTGAACAACTTGACCAGATTTTAGCCTCTGCTAAAGAGCTTTCACAACCCATAATCATTGATTGGTAAAATCTTTCTCTTTCCTTCTTTGTGATTAGTAAAAAAGAATGTGGTTAAATGGTAAATTTTTCCATATGGTTATAAAATAAATAAATGATTGATATAAAGTGATAATTTATGGAGTTTCTTTTTCTTTTTGTAAAGAAAAAAGAAAGAATCAAATTCATAGAGTTGTAGTTAGATTGATTTGTTTATAGCAAATGGTTGATAGGATGGCTGCTTGGTGCCGGAAATGCATTTATTTGAAGCCAAAATTGGAGAAACTTGCAGCTGAGTTTGATACCAAGTAAGCCCTTTTCAACTTCTCTTTCATGTCTTCTCCCAAATAATTACAATGTCTAACATTCTTTTGAGTAGTTGATAGTTCTTTCTTTTATTGTTTTCTTTATTTTTGAGTAATCTTTGCTGCTAAAATAGAACCCTCCCTAGCAATAGCAGAGCCAGAATTTTTATTAAGGGGAGTCAAACTATAAAGAAATAAACTCACCAAGAAGTCAAGGGATGTCATTATATATTATATATACATATATTTTTTAAAAATTACCGAGCTAAACAGTTTAATTTTTCGACGAAGGGGTTGACACCCCTTGGGTGCATGTAGCTCCGTCACTGCTCCCTAGGGAATTCAATAATTTATACACATACAAAAGAAGTTTGTCCTATCCTATTTGAACAGTACAATTTTGCGATGAAGGGATCCGGTCGAGTTATGTAGCTCCGCACCGCTAGAAAGCCTTTCATAAATTATTATGCTTTCCCAAAAAATTGAACAGCTCCCTACCTCAGACGAGAGTGACAATAACTCAGTAACTTATTTACTCAATGACTACCCGTATAGTTCTATTAGTTCAATGATCTCTGGTTGCTATGGTTATGCATTTTTATGAAGGATTGGTTGACGAAATATGAATTGAAGACTGAACCTTGGTATACCCCCGAACAATACATTTTTATTACCACGGGATATATCATTCCAAATGAAGATGGTTAATATATGTAGTTGACATTGAGCATATTTTTAACATTCCAAGTCTCATTTGGTCAAATGAAAACATGTCTATCTTACTCTCTCCCTTGGCGTGGTTTTAGATATTTGATATCTTCTTCTTCCTCTTTTTCATAGACTCAAATTCTACTACGTGGATGTGAATAAGGTACCACAATCTTTAATGAAGCGCGGAAACGTCTCAGTAAGTATTGTTCTTGGCAAATCTCTAGTATTTTTGCTGTCTCTTTGTTCATGTTCTTGGTTTGCCAGCTAATTTGATTCTTGTTTTATGTTCTTCAGAAAATGCCAACAATTCAGGTGAGCAGAAGTCTGGATTCCCTATCATTTCGAAGTGGAAAAAAAAAACTCTTGATTGAAAAATAAAGCTATCTACTTGTTTCATTTTGATTGCAGTTGTGGAAAGATGGGGAGATGAGAGCAGAGGTGATTGGAGGGCACAAAGCATGGCTTGTAATTGAAGAAGTGAGAGAAATGATCAAAAACTTCGTATAATATGTTGCCAGGAAAAAACTGACTGCCTCTTCTTGTTCATAAACTGCAATTTGCTCTGTCCAAAATTAGACATCAATTTGTATATTCAGCAAAGGGCATTTCAATATGTACAGTTGTTACACCATTTGTATTATCAAAGAAAGTGAACTGGTGATGTTGGAAATTGGAACTTCGGAATAAATAGGGCCATAAATAGAAACTAACAAAGCTAAACACAAAATAAATTGCACTTCTATTCTCCATATGGATGTCAAATTGTCTCCAAATCTTCAAATTCTTCGAATGCATATGTGCCCGATTCTAGAAAACGTTAGTGTGATTTGCCTGCATATAGCTAAAACTACTCCAATTAGACGAGACCTTGCATTTCCACGTGTAAAAGCTAAAGCAAAGTGTGTTGGATACAGCACTAATCATCAAGTTGTCATCTTTGAAATGCCACGTCCAAAACGATGACACCCGCCAATGTAGCATCTACTCGTCCAAAACGATGACACCCGCCAGTGTAGCATCTACTCATCCAACTCGCTCGATAACTGCTACCACACATTGCCTGAACTAGAGAGCGGGCAAACAGCAACAACCACAAACAACAACATCAGCTAGTCTTAAAGTTCTCAGCTGAACCCGTTTCTGTCATAGAAACAGGATATTTACTCCATCCTCCTAGTGATCCGAAAATGACAACACCAGCATACTTCTCTTCAGAACTTCAACACACAGAGTAACCAGATTCCTAACTTCAGTATGAGCACTTTGCATCCCTTTCAACTACTGATCTTTTTCTTCTGTAGAAGCTTAGGAATGGCTCCCGATAACTTTCTGTTTGCATTTCCAACGAGATTCTATCAATTGAATAAAGTACACGCATACAGATAGGTATATCATGGACAGTTTAAGCGACTGAACCTACCTACTGTAATATCCCTTATACACTGTTCAATTTCGAGCACAAGGAGATAAACAAACATATGCAACAGTCAAGCATCCGCAATGCATGAGATAAAATTAGTCAGAGATATCAAAATGAGGCGTATAAAATAATGAAAAGGCACCATATGACAACTGATGTAACCACCCTTTTTCTCTATTATCTAAGAATGTGAGAGACCCTGACACTACCGAGCAGGCAAGATACAAGAAATCAATACAAGGAAAATAATAACAATAATAATGAAATGAAACACTATATCCCGCGCTCATCCAGCAAAGAAGAATTAAGTTTCATTAAAGACAAATTGAGTAAGTTCATGAACACAAATTCTACAAGTTCACCATCAAATTTAGTTATTAAGCTAGAAAAACCTGACAATCAACCTAAGGAAAAGTTCAATTGAAAATACTCTTAGGTCCATGGTGTCCGCAAGAGTTGATCTTGATCAAGCAGTCCCATTCAGTTTTTGCACTCCATATTGTAGGAGCATCAGTTGTAGATTTCACCCCTTTAGAAAATTTAGATTCCAAAACCAAAAACAGCTCGTATCCTATGGAAGATAAGGTCCCGCCATCCTCTCTCAGTATTTTCCACAACAGTTGCATGACCATATCTGCACCATCATAGCAAACATGAGAAGAAAAAATCGCATAATTATATATAAGCAAACTAACATAGGTAAATAGATAACAACAACGGACCTGTCTTCCTCTGGTACATCTGTATGTGTCAGCTTGACAACTGTAACTCCAGATCCAGGCTCCTCAAAAGTAATTCGGACCTGCAACAATCATCACTAGAGATGCATCAGGAAAAAACCACCATTCTCCATCAGACACATTTATTTGGCATTGTGGCTATAGGCTGGCAAGTCGCAACACGCAAACACACAGTTACAGTTCCATCTAAAAGGGTAACCCGGTGTACAAAACATCCCACATTTTGCGCAGGATCCGGTTAAGGGCCGCTTAGTGGCTGCTTCCACAGCTCGAACACGTGGCCTAAACGTCACAGTCACAGTTCCATCTATTTAAACATATTGACCACACTGTACAAAGAAAACAAGCGAGGTAAAGAGAGTTTTAAATTCAGACAAATCAATTCAAACTACATCGTTGATAGTTGATCCACCAAATTCTGTCGAAGAAGAACGATTCCGCTACCCTGTTTCATTCAAGCAGGATCGATTGAATGAATCAGGGAGTGGACCAGAGTAAGACTTGGACTTGAATTTTCTGTAAAATCAAGTTCAAAAATCTGTTCTTAGATACTGTTAAATTGTACTGAATCCATTTTCAATTAAAATGCGAACAGTTACCTTCGCTCATGGTCACTGCTTACATTCTACTTCTCGTAAGAGCCTAAAGTAACGATACATTAAAAAGACATCACAAATAATTCCTCCTTAGTCCATCACCACCCAATCTAAGCACGTAGTCCCTGTGCTTACATTAAAATGTCATATCTACAAAACATTAACACTGACCGAGATTATAAAGTTCCTTGTATTACTGCCCTCCAGTCCTCTACTGAGCTAACAAAAGGATTAGTTACACGAGTGAGAACTCGTTAGACTATAGAATTTGACCTAACAATCTTGCCACAAACTTGCATCTTTTCTCTATTCAGATGGAATATTTGAACCAAAAAAGATGAATACTAGTCAAGTTACCTAGAACATAACTCATTCTACACACTATACACACATTCAAGATTATATACTCCATCCATCAATCAGCTAAATCAAATACATATTAGTTGAGGTCGGCTATACCATTCTTCAGCTTCCATACCCTATCCAGATATATTTCATTCCAATACAAAAACAATTTTCCATATTTAACATAAGAAATTACTTTGATATTGAGCTTACCGTGGACTGGACGCCATCAGGCCAGCTACCAAACCGCCATTTCTGAACAATTAATGTGCCTTCCTGCAACTCCACATTAGTTCCTGTAACTGACCCATTAAATATACTAAACTCCCCTCCCACCTCTTTGCTTATCCTTGCATTACTCTGCGTAAAACCCTTCCATCTTTTCTCATCCATCAATATCTCAAACAAATCTTTCGCCCTACAACTAAACTTCTCCGTCATCGTAATCGTCTTAAACCCTTCCTTCTTCTTCTCCTTCTTTACCACACCCTTTGCCTTCTCATCCACAGCAACTAGAGCCGGAGCGGGGGCCAGAGAGACAACATTTCCGGCGCCGGTGGGTTTCTTAGCTAATTTTTTCACCTCAGCTTCATCCTTAGCGGGTCCACCATTTGCCATAGCATTAACATACGCCTTCACTTGCTCTAAAACAAACGGCTTTCCCTTTTCAACAAACGCATCCTTCAATTTTTTCGCAATCGGTCCATCTTCTTTTACATTAACCTTAATCTCCGGTTCTTCGTCAGCATTCTCATCGGCTATATAAGGAATTTCAACATTCCCTTCAATTTTCGTCACACTATAATTATCAGCTTCTTTTAATTCCCCTTCCCAGGAGAGAATTAAATTCAATTCGTAGCCCGGAATTATTTTCCCCTTACGGATATTGACGTAGGCTTCTCCTTCGAGTTTCTCGAGGTTTTTTGTGCGTATTTCGAGGTTGTTCTCGCCGTTAATTAGGGTTTTGTTGGATAAGAGGTTAGTGAGGAAGTTGCGAGACCATTCGAGGCAGTCAGTTTCAGCCCAGTGCCAATTATGAACATTGGTGCCATCGGGTCGGTCTTCTACGATCCATCGTTTGTCTCCTTCTCCAAGACGGGCCATTCTACGGCGGAGTACGGTGGCGATATGAGCAGCGTGAGAGAGAGGAGATGATTCTGTGTTGGGGAGTGCGTAAAGGACCAGTGCAACATTGTGTTAGAGGGTTCCAACTGGTGCCTATTTGTTCGGAAGGATCTAGAAGACTGAATTTTCTTCTTTTCTTTTTCCCCTTTTTACATTAACAATAACAATGTTGAATTGTACCGACATTTAAATCATTGATAATGCAAAGATTTCTATATTATCAGTGTTGTTTTCTTCGTAGCAAATGTAGGGCGGGCGTTGGGTCGTTCGGTTCGGTTGGAAGAAATTTGGTTCGGTTATTTAGTTTTCGGTTTTATAAAAGTAGTAAGCGAAATCGAACTAAAATAAGTTTGGTTCAATGCCTGTTTGGCCAAGCTTCTCAAGAGGCCAAAACTGTTGTTTTTCCCAAAAGCATTTTTTTCCCTAACTTGAGGTGTTTGGCCAAGCTTTTTTGAGGAAAAAAGGTGCTTTCGGGAAGAAGCAGAAGCAGTTTCCGAGAAGCAGAAAAAAGTAGCTTCTTCCCAAAAGCAGAAGCAGAAGCAGTTTTGACTTTTCTTCTTACCAAAAATGCCCTTAACAAAATATAGTATATACCAAAATAACCGTTAAACCTAATACTTAGGATATTAATGTATAAATATTTTTTCTTATTTTTAGGTTAGCTTTCTAATATATAGTGACTTTAGCGGTGAATGCTTTTATATTTGTTGAATAATTTTTAATATATTTAACTTATATTAAAAGAATTAGGTACTTTTTAATTTTATTTTCATATTTTACTTAAATAAAATGAAAAGATTTAATTATTGCATGTAATAACAAATTTTTGAGATTATTTATTTACTTATAATATTAAGTATAAAGTAAATCTATTCATGTCCTTATTCGTAATTTGATACTTAAAAGCACTTTCTGAAAAGCTTGGCCAAATACAAATTATTGCTCAAAAGTGCTTTTCAGAGTAATTAGCCAAACACAAACTACTTCTCTCCAAAAGTATTTTTTTCAAAAGCACTTTTAAAAAAAGCACTTCTCAAAATAAGCTGATTTCTCCAGCTTGGCCAAACAAGCTATCAGTTTGGTTTTCTAATTTCAGTTCGGTTCGGTTTTCGTTTTGAACATTATCATATTGGGCTCCTTCTATGTAATAATAGGACCGGCAAATTTGTTGTTTTTTTCCAAAACTTCGGACTTCTTGGAAATATTGGGAAAAAAAAGACTAAACTTTGCACACTATTATGGATCATAAAATTCAAACATAGTGTAAATTACAACTCTGTGTGAAATCCTCCCGGTATATTATCATATATGCTATGAAAGTTTTAATAGAGTAAAAGTTTTAAGATTGGGAAGATGATGGACTTACTTAATTAGGTTGAGTCTTTGATAGATTAGACCTAATATTATTAATTTACTACCTATGGGCTTAGCCTATATGTAACTTAAAGAACCTATATGCTAATAATTCGATTTTTTGGTTAACCGAACTAAATAAAATAATAGTCTAAAATCGAACCGAAAAACTGAAATTTTAAAATTTTAAATCGAAACCGACCGAACAAACCGAATACCCAAAACCGAAATAAAAATATTTTTGGTTCGGTCGATTTCTTCGGTTCTGACCGAAATATGCCCACCGCTAGTTGCAATGATCATCGATTCATGCTTTGTATAGAAAGCTAGACATAATCAATTTTTTAAATAATAAAAAACATAAATATATTTAATATTATTGGTGTATAAAAATTAAACTCGAAGAAAAAATGGTCTGGCGTCCATGTACTGTAGTACTAATATGTTTGATGCGAATGTGAATAGGTATATCAGAAATTCATGTTGCCAACAACAATATAAGGCACCAAAATAAGGGGTCTGTTTCTAATTCCTTATTTCAATTTCAACTAATGTTGACAAAATAAAATAAACAAGACAGAAATTTTATAATATATAGTCGGGTATTTGTGTTTGATCAAAGGTACATTAAAGGGAAGTTTAATTGGAATTACAATTGTAAACACAGACGCAATGTAATGGGCCAAGGTTACCACCAGTGCAAACTCCATTCCCGTTATGTATTTTTAAGCATTCTCTTTGACAATTAGCAAGGATGCATTCCTTTGGATTCAACGTTACAGTGCATCTATTTTGGGCTTTTACCTGAGTAATTGTCAATGCAACTGCATACAAATTGAAAGAAGAATTAGCATTACTTTCTTTTATTACAAACAAAATAATAACCATAGAAAAAGAATTTGAGCCAAACCTGAAAGAATGAGAAAGAAACAAAAAACAGAGTTAAAAAACTTAGCCATCCTTATTGAAGTTGATCTCAAATGTCAATGGTGTGCTTTGGTGCAAGGTGAAAGAGGCTTTTATAGTTCAAATTTGCTAAGACTTGCATTGATTTTATTAGGAAAGTAAGGTAGCTAGATAATTTACTTTCCAAGGAAGAAATATGACTATTGCATTACAAAGATAATGGTTTATAGTATGCTTTCCATTGAGCAAAGATGGATTATTTGATTTGTTTCCTTCTTGAAAAGTTATTTGTCAGTAGCAATATTTAGAATCTAGAGTTGTTGCGACAAGAGAAAAGCCAATTTGGATTTGATGCGGAGGGAATAGATTGGAAAGCTTACATTTTTTTTAACCTTATCAACTAGTATTAGTACTCGCGTGATGCGCGGGCGTAAATCATGTCAAATTATGATTTGGGTTATTTGAATTGTGTGCAAACAACCTCAAAATTAAACCTTCTATATAGAAATTATATATAATTATTTGATACTTAATTAAGAAGCAGGACATGAAACTATTTTAACAAATCTCATAGTGGATAACCTGTTTTCTTTTTTTATATTCGTAGTAATTCAACCCCTTGATCGTGACACTTGTATAATATTCTTTATTACCATTTATAATTTTTTTTTGTGCAATTGATTTGCATTAATTATTCTCTTTTCTTTGTATGCATGAATTCAACCTGGGTCTCTATTGAGCCCATTTGGAGCTCAAATCCACTTTCAGATCTGGGTTGTCACATTTCTGTGTAAAAATTGTATGGGGCGCCCTATTTGGTCGCCCACATTTAACCTATACCCATTTTTAAAAAAGTTTTAATATGTACCCAGTTTTTAAACAACTTCAGCCCCTTTCTCCTTCTCCTTCGTTTTCTTCTTCTTCTTCTATTAGCAACTGAAATGCACTATGATTAATTCTCTAATACTACCACCATTCCATATGTCTGACCAATTAGGCTCAAACTTCCCAGCCTTACTTCAAATTTATCGTCGAGAAGGATACTGCTAGCTTGAACATCTCTTCAACCAGAAAACACAGAATATAATTAGCTTGGTGTAGAACTTTACAATAACTTGAACTTAATAATGGTTCTGTTACAGACAAAAATCGTGTGTATCATCATTTGAGGAGAAAATCAAGAATGCGAAAAAGTGAAAGAAACAAATACCTATGAAAAAGGGGAGGATTACACTCATGATGTAAATAGGTTAGAACTTCAGCTCTCGCCAGTTACAAAATAAAAACTTCAGCTCTAGAGCTGAAGTTCGACAGTTACAAAACAAAAACTTCAGCTCTAGAGCCGAAGTTCGCCAGTTACAAATAAAAACTTCAGCTTCGCCAGTTACAAAACAAAGACTTCAGCTCTAGAGCTGAAGTTCGCCAGTTACAAACAAAAACTTCAGCTCTAGAGCTGAAATTTGCTAGTTACAAAACAAAAACTTCAGCTCTAGAGCTGAACTTTAGGCCCGGCTACTAGAATGCTGAAGTTTTGCGTGATTGCCTTTGCTACTTCAGCCCCATATGCTGAAGTTTTGCGAAAAAACGGGTACGCTTGTAATTTTTTTTCCAAAGCGGGCACAAGTTAAAACGTGACACAAAAAGCGGGTATAGATGCAAATGCCCCCATTCCTGTCACGTCTGCTATTCGTGCACATAATGTTGTTAAAATTTCACGGTATAGCCAATTTTCGGACTGGTCAATCAAAAATAGCCAGCGTTTACCAAGTCAATGAAAAATAGCCACTGTTTTGCTGCAATAGAGACCGGTCCAGCATAATATACTGGAGTTCGGTGCACTTGTGTATGAACTCCAGCATATTATGCTGGATCGGTATACTTTGCTGGCTCCAGTATAATATACTGGAGACTGGAGCACTGGTGCTCCAAACTCCAGTATATTATACTGGACCATTATACTTGCTGGAACTCCAGTATATTATGCTGGAGTTCTAGTGCATTTATGCTGGAACTCCATCATATTATGATGGAGTTCCAGCATACTATCCTGGAACTCCAGTATAATACGCTGGAGTTCAAGTATACTTATGCTGGAACTCCAGCATAATATACTGGAGTATTTTCCGGGTTTTGAACAGTGTTTTCGCTCAGATTTATCTTTACATAAAAAGTGACTAAACTTTGATTACTTTTAAAATTAGGCTATTTTTGAACGACCAGTTGTAAATCTGACTATTTTTAAAAATCACCCCATAATGTTGGGCCTATTTAAGCTCACTGAGCCCAAGTCGCCAAGAGTCCAGCCTATTTCCCTTTCTTATGTTTAATTATATTCGTTGTTGTTTACCTTTATTGCATATTTGAATACTAACTCTATTATTGGATCTTTGATATCCCGACTTTCTTTAGGGAAGTAGGCAAATGAGAGAATATCATTACTGGCCCTCCGCTGAAAACTTATATCAGCAGCTAGCCATAAATTATAATATACATTTTATAGCCCAAAACTTATTTTAATGACTAGCCGTTGAAATCAACAAAATCAAACTGACACGGAATACAAGAACGAGGGAACAAGAATTGAAAGGTAAGTATTGAGGTGGCTCTTAATTTCTACATAGCCAAACATTCATCATTTGATTCTTTTTGGCTTTTATGCTATTTAGATATTGATATTTTATACATATTTGTGAGGAATATAAAAATAAAACTTTTGTCATAAATGTTGATTTTTATCTGCTGATGAAAGGAAAGGACATGTGTCGTGTACACAATAATTACACCTATTTGGGTCATTACATTCTTTTTATACACATTAGTATATCATTTAAATTCATAGTCTGAA